CGGCGGCGGCGGCGGCGCGTGGGCACCGGAAGTGCCTCCCGCCGGCCCCGCCCCGCTCGTGCCCACGGGGGGAGCACTTCCGGTCACACGGGGTTGCCCAGAGAGCGGCGCGGAGAACAGAGCGCAGCGGGCGAGCGCCCCGATGCTCCTGGGACTCACCACCCCGAATTCCCCCGTCGGCCGCCCCTTGGCACGCCCACGGGGGTCCAGCCCCTCAGAGCACCCCTTCCTTCGGACCCAGCTGACCTCCCTACGGGATTCAGGGGCGCCTTCTGAGGACCAGGACCAGTCCACGAGGACCCCACGACGTGTAGCGACCCCCGTGTTGGGAGAAATCGGGCCAGCCTGCTGTTGCCAGACCCTGCTGTGGCCAAAGGGCATGGTAGGGGGTGGTCATCCCTCTTAGGGAATGGGCGGGGCAGCTGCGCGATGTGCCCACAGCTCCGCCACACCCCCCTCTGGAACCGCTGTTACCGCAAAGCCAATGTAGGTCGGGGCAGTCGTGGGCAAGGACAGGGGTGCATGGACCATGACAGCCGCATGTAGAAAGGCATGGAGTTGCAGAGGCCGTAGGTGGAGGAACGTGTGGTCAGGACGAAGGGGAGGGAAGGGCCGTCGAAGCAGAGGGCATAGCCCACACAGAAGTGATATAGGCCGGGTAAGATCTAGGGGAAGGGGAGGTCCGTGAATTCAGTGACCACCCACAGTACTTCCCAAACCTGTCTGGGGACGTAGCTGGGGTCTGATGCTGAGCGCTGGCACCCACAAAGGTCCACGGCCTTTTTTCAGTCTGGAATGTTGTGGACTGGGGTTCCTCCCAGCTGCCACCCCACGTGAACCATTATTTTTAGTACTTAGACTCTCCAGGGGGCAGCAACCAGAGGGGCTGACCGGAAAGAATTCCCTAGTCCAAGAACCAGCACCTGCTGTGAGCTTCTCAGGCCAAGGAAGCACTCAGACTTGTCCTGGAGATAGTGCTGTCATTGTCTCCAGTGGCCACCATTCCCCGCCATTTTTTCCAGGCCACCTCCACATGGCGCCCTTTGTCTTGTGGGTATCCAAGCTTTCAAACCGTGGACTCCTAGCTTAGACCCTTCCTCACCCTACCTGGCAGGTTCAGCAGGAAGCAGCATTTTCCCCAGGGGGTTCCAGAGAAGGGGAGGTAGGAAAATTAATCATTAACCAAGAACAGTGTTAGAGGTAAAGAGAAAGAGCAGAATGTGGAGATGCCAGTGCCGGGCAGCCTTTGCCCCCCCTTAGGCCCAAAGGAGAGGAAAGGGTAGAATGGTATCCATCCTCCCGTGAGCTGAAGGTGTAGAGATGGGTTCACCAAGTGGGAACTGTCATTGTACAGGGATGGTGAGGGTGGGGAAAGAAGACCCCAATCCTGCCTTCCCACACCCTATCTCCTGCCAGCACTGCCCTTTGGCCAAACCCACCTGGAATTGGAAGGCAGGGAGGGAACCAGGGTTGCATCCCTCTGGGGTCAGTCTCCAGGGTCCAGAGCCAGGTAGAGAAGAAATTCTCTCCCATAGGAGAGAATTAGCAGCTAGTCTCTGTCTCAGAACCCTCACCTTCATCGCTCAGGGACCCCACACCATCCAGCATCTCCCCTGCACATGTCCCCACATGATCTGTTCCCAGTGACCCATTTCTTCCCCACTCCCTTCTCAAGAGTCTATCAGGACGCCCAGGCCACCCTCCCCTTCCAGTCTGTTCGGGTCTGAGTCTCCCACTCAGCTGATGGTCCTTCTGATACAGGAAAAATATAACTCCTGACCTGTTAGATGACATGTGTGGTCTCACAACATTGAGGAATAAAGTTGTCAACTGAAGGAGGAAGTTAAGAGAGTTTTATTAAAAATAAAGGGAAGAAGAATAGCTTCTGAATTTCCAGGAGGGGTCCCAAATGGGTGGCCACCACAGCCTTTTGTTGGGGGTAGTTTATATAGCAAAGTCACAAATGAGTACAACATGGGTCAAACCACAATCAGCCTATAGAACTACAAATATAGCTGCTTAGCTAATATTGATCTAGTACAGAAACGAGTCAAATAGCAAGGGTACATGGAAAAAGAAAAGACATTTTTGGGAAGGGAGGAGAGCTTGGGTCCAGATAGGCTGGTCACACAGCTGTGTCTGATGCCTAGCTGGTCTCACTGGACCAGGTGGTGCTAATGACAGTATAATCTCAAACTGCTGTTTATCTCTAGGGAGCCATGCAGGCCTTGCTATTGCTTCTTCATCCTGAGGCCTGGTTGCTTCCAGCCACAATTCTGATGTCTTTATTTTTTTTGTGCTGACTTCCTTGAGAGCCCAATCCCTGTCTGACTCCATATTAATTTCTGTCTAACTTAACTTCTGTAATACTTCCTTAGGGTGGAAGCTGAGCAGAGAGGCTGTAGCCCCTAGACCATCTCTGCAGGTCATCTGTACTCCTCCTGACCATGACACACAAAGTTTCCAAGGCTCATTTCATTCACGACCCTGAGGGCCACAGTCAAGCAAAGACCCAATGGTCTACCACGTTCGTGCGACCTGGGTCAAAATTGGGGCTGCTATTGCCTGGATGATCTGTCCCCTGGCCCAGCCTTGTAATTTCCAGAGCAGAGTGCTCAGGTGGGCCACCCACCATTCTGTGAGAATTAAACCTACGCCATGAGATAGGAGACTCCACATCTGTGTTGGTTTTACAGTCAGATACATTTTCCTGTCGTTCAACCCTGAATGGCCCCTTACACTGGCCCTGCATTCCCTGGCCTGGATCAGATCATGGGCAGTGAGCCTTGCCAGCGGCTTGGCTGAGTCTGGGTACACAGCCCTCCCCCTGGCCCAGCGTCATCTTTGTCCCAGCTCAGGACAGTGAATAGCTGTCCCAAATGGGCCATGCTTACCTGACCCATGTCCTTGGCCCTGAGCCTTCTGGCCACCTAAGTCCAGAGCTGGCTGCCCCAGGTGCCTGTAGGCACTGCCCCAGGAAGGACTCTGCCTGGCTCTGCACAGGGAGACCCAGGATCCAGGCCTGGCCTGCCTACTCCCTCCCTGACCCTACAGTGTCTATGTGAAGTGCTTGTGCACAGCACATACTCCCGAAAGCACAGTGTAGCCCCACTGCTCAGGGTTCATGAACCTCCCGGTCCCAGGTAGGTCCTGCTCTCTGCGTCCCTCTGGCTCCATCTTCTTGTAGGTCCTAGGACCTACAGCACACCCCACCCTCCCTCTCTCCAAGGTCTGCAGCCTTATGGCTAGACTCCCAGGCTATGCACACACACATGCGTGTGCACACACACAAACACACGCCTATGCTGCTTTTCCTTTACTTGGTAGAACAAATCACATGCCTTGCACTCTGCTGTGTGCCAGGCCTTGCATACAATCCCTGAGGAGCTCAGGCCCTGCTGCCAAGCGAGGTGGGGTTGGAGGAGACCTTCAAATCAGGGTCACGTGGTTCACCCTACTCTAAGAATCATGTGCAAAGGGATGTGATGGGGGATAGCAGGGCTGAAAAAGGTGGGGAGAGAGGCAAGAAAGCTCATGGGGGCCCCAAGGCTGTGGGCACGGATGGGATATCAGTAGGGAGAGACCTACAAGAGTGAGCTGGGTCATAACAGTCTAGGGCAACATGTG